CCATCTCGTTGGCTTCTGCTTCATGTGGGGTTCATCTGCTTCATCAGGAAATCTCCTATCATTGGTAACAGTCACATCAGTGGTAGTAACTTCATCAAGGGCTTCACTGTTCCCCTACTCAAAACCGAGTAGAGTTTCTTCTTCGACAGTGGCTTTTTCAGGTGACACGTCTTCAGCAGCATCATTTGTTCCATTGTTCACTTCCTCCAACTGAAATGTCCTGGACCGTGATAACATCAAAGCCTGTTGGCATGTACCACCTTTGGCTTACCTCGCCGGCCACATTTTATCCGGAAAGTCACGTTTGAGAGACGATCCACTATGTCATATTGGCCTTCCCATGGAGAAGAATACTTAGGAGACTTCCCTTTGGTCTTCCTGGGATTATACAACCACACCTTGTCTCCTGGTACAAAGCTGACTTCAGTAGATCTCTTATCATAACATAGCTTCATGGAATCAGCAGACGTTTTCAAGTTTGAACGCACTTGATGGTAAATATCATCCATCCTTTCCGATAACATTTTCACGAATTCTGACACATTTTCAGGCAATTCTTCATAAGGTGGGCGTCCTGTTAACAGATCCACTGGCAACCGAAGTTCCCGACCAAACATCAACTTTGCTGGAGTGTATCCAGTGACTTCATGATCTGCTGTTTTATAGTCCATCAACAGTGGAGGGAGTAAGACATCCCAGTCATCTTGGCAGCTATTACAAAACTTTGCCAATTCCTGTCCCAGTGTCCAGTTGTACTTTTCTACCATCCCATCAGACTGTGGGTGGAGTGGCGTTGTTCTGGTCTTTCGGATGCCAAATAACTTGCAGTATTCTTGGAACACAGCTGATTTGAAGTTACGGCCTTGATCTGAATGCAGTTCATATGGCATACCAAATCTGAAGAAGAAGTCACTAATAGCCAAAGCTACAGTTGTAGCTTCCTGAGTTGGTATTGCATATGCCTCAGGCCACTTGGTGAAATAATTCATCACCACACAAATGTACTTGTTTCCAGCACGAGTTTGGGGCAGAGGACCAGCAATGTCAACGGCTACTCTTTCCATTGGTGTGCCAACTTGATATAACTTCATTGGAGCACGTCCCTTATGCTTGGGTTTCCTTTTAGCACAACATGTACTGCATGTTCTGCACCATTCTTTCACATATTGCCTCATACCTCTACAGTAAAATCTCTGTCATAGATGATGCAATGTTTTCTTAACTCCAAGATGTCCTCCTGTTAAAGTATCATGGGATTGACGCAGCACAACTTCCCGTAAATTTCTCGGCATAACCGTTTGCCAGGTTGTCACTTTCCCATCTGCAGTTTCCCATCTCCAGAGAAGAATACCATCTTCAAACTTCAACTGGTCCCATTGTGCCCAATAGTTCTTTGTCACAGGGCTTAAGCTAGACACCTTCTCCTAAGCAGGGTGCAAAACACTTGCTTTTAGAAAATCAATTATTGGCTTCAAATCTTGGTCTTTCTCCTGCTCTGATTTAATATCTATACATGATTCCATTTCACCATCCTCAACTCCTTCAGTCACTTTGACTTCAGCTTGATGACACCTGGTTAGTTCAACCTCTCTTTTACAGCAATGTCTGCAGTCATTTTTCCAGGGTCTTCGGCTCAGTCCGTCGGCATTTCCATGAGATTTTCCTTCTCTGTATTCAATATCATAATTATACTGGTCTATCTTTACCATCCAACGTGCCAGTTGCCCCTCTGGGTTCTTTAATGATCTTAACTAGCGTAATGCAGCATGGTCTGTCCTGATGATAAACCTAGCACCATAGAGTTAAGGATGGAAATATGTCAGACTCTTTACTATAGCAAAGAGTTCCCTCAGTGTTACACAGTAGTTCCTCTCTGGTCTACTCAGGACCCTACTGAAGTACGCTACCACACGGTTTTCAC